CATGGCAGGTTCATTTATGTGTTTTATATTAAAAATACCTAAAAACGTGTCAAAGCAATGTTCGAAATCCTCTGCAGATAGCCTAAAGCTTTTGGTTTAAGTCTCCTCACCCAGTAAGGGGCTCAGCAGGTTTTCAGGGAAGCTTTCACAACCTAAAAGAAGAGCTGAAGGTCAACACAAAACTCCCCTTAAGCTTAAGGAAGGAAGAGGAAATAGCTTGTTTTAAACTCATGATTTCCAACCTGTTCGGAAACTCATGATTTCCAACCTGTTCGCTCGTAAAACAAACTAAACCAGACCAAACTAGGACATTATAACAAGAGAGTTCTGAAATGTGGGCTCCAGAGACTGGCTCTTTTAGCCTTAAGCTACCCTGCTTATCGAGCCCTGGTGGCACAGTGGTTAAGAGCTACGACTGCTAACCTAAAGGTCGTCAGTTTGAGTCCACCAGCCGCTCCTTGGAAACCCTACAGGGGCCGTTCTACTCTGTCCTGTAGGGTCACTATGAGTCAGAATCAACTCCACAGCAACGAGTTTGGTGTTTTTTTTTTTTTTTTCCTATTTAGGGTGTATAATTGGTATACTAGTTGGACATTTTTTAAAAGAACTAAACACATGGTGGACTCTTAAGTGTGCAGAGGGAACTTCAGCTGATAAGTCATCCACTCACCCATGCTACTACCTACAAGTCTCTGGGTGGTACAACTGGTTACTGTGCTCGAGTGGTAACTGAAAGGTTGGCAGTTTGAGTCCACCTAGAGGTACCTCAGAAGAAAGCCCTGGCGATCTACTTCCGAAAGATGACAGTCATTGAAACCCTGTGGAGCATAGTTCTGCTCTGACAGACATGGGGTCACCATGAGGTGCAGGTGACTCCATGGCAGATGGTAAAAATACCTGGTTTCTCACCCCCAAATCAGAGTTTGCCTACAAAGGTCCAGTTATTCTCCGTGTCTGGTAACTCCACGGTTAGGTACTTGAACAGTCTCAGTTTTCTTGAGACCTGGGATAGTAAAGCAAACTAATTTTAAGTCATAAAATTCAGATAAACACCATATCCCAGGGCAGGTGGCACTGAGATGGTACAACAGCTGTATGGCTAAAAAAATTTACACTCAATTTACTTTAAAAATAATGAATTCTCACAGGCAAGAGACTTTTCCCTCAAAATTACCAGCTTCCTCCCACTTTCTTGGTAACTATTGGTCTGTTGCTCTGTTACAAAGACCTGCCTTCTACTCGCTGGTCTGTGAGGCTGCTCCGCCATAGAATTCAGAGGCACAGGGCAGTCTCCGTGCATTGTGGGGGCAGTGAGCTCACTGGGTTAGAGCAGGATGCTAACTGTTCTGCATTTGTGAGTTTGATTCCTCAACAGAATTAAAAAAAAAAAAAAAAGTTTTCCATGTCCCCTTAGGGCCAACCAGTCTCACCGAAGAGATGGGCAAGAGTGTACCTGGTTCACCAAAACTTTTGAAAAGTAACTCCTAACATGTGGCATTGGGAATGACACAGTAAAGTGGGAGGTGGGCAGAGCTGTCTGCTCACCGGGCCGCGAGGAGGCCCAGCTCGGCCCTCGCTGGCAGGGGCAGCACTCTGGGCATTGCCATCAGTACTGGAAAAGAGGACTAGGACTCGGGGGAAAGAGCAGACCAGGGGAGCTGGGGTTGGGGAGAGACCCAGGGGTGGTGCTATGCAAAGTGACAAGAGGCCCTTTCATGCACCTAGTCTTTAGACTTTTCCTCAAAAGGACTAGAGTTAGGTAGGAAAAATACTGTAAGATGTTCAAGCCAATTTTTAGATTAAAAAACTAAGATTTAAAAATCCCCAATATTAAAACAACTTTCCCACTATTTTGTGAATTGGACAATTTTTCATCATTACAAATGCATTTTGAGACACTCAGAGAAAATGCTTCAAAGTGTCTTGAATTATTTTTGAGTATTTTTGAGTAAGGAGAGTACTCTAAAACTGACCTGGGCTACCTAAGAGACAATATTTTACTTCTGGGAGAAACGGTTTTTATGAGGAAAAAAATGCATAAACAGTTAAATGCAAGTTCCTACTTGTTTTTTGATAACAGACTTTTGTTTGTTTAGTTATATTTCAGACTTCCCCTGAACACATGAGGCATGTTAATACAACACAATTATTTAAAAGGTAACACTGAAACATTTTACTTTTGCCAATTTAACATACAGAGGTCTGAGGAATGACAATTATCAGCCTTTAAAACACATTATACAAGGTGATCTGAGATAACAAGAGCATGATACATTTTTGAAAAGTACCCACAGCTTACGAGGGGTAAGCTAAGGAAAATCTAATCTAACTGTACTAAGATAAATCATGACTCAATTGAATGCTTTTTAATAAATTACCTTTTTTAAAACAAAAATTGTATTTCTCACTTCATCTGATGTTGAGAGGAATCTGAACTACTACTTCTCAGTTAAATAAAGGCAGAACCTGGAAAAATAATGCAATACTTTACAAATATCAGAGACTGGGTATAAAGACAGACTTGAACAGTAGAAAAAAAAGTAACACTTATAAATGTTTGTTCTCTTCTGGACCATGACTTTTTATGTATTTTGGTAATCCCAGAGTCGAATTCATCACGGATCTGGATTGATCCTTCTAAGTCAAATACGTACAGTCTAAGTGTGTTCAACTTATCAAACCCTGCTGTCAGGAATAACAAATTTAACAAAAAGCACAGTACAGAGCAGGGAAATACTACTACAAGACAAGGAATTTCCACTTCACTGCAAATAAATTCATATTTGATATTAGAGACATATGTTCCTATTTTCACATAAGTCACTTAACACCATACATTACACTAACTTTTCCCAATGACGCAGTACAATGGGCCTGTCAAGATTTTTCAGGAAATAGCCATCAGCATCTGTTGTGCTTAGAGCTGCCAGTACGAAGCTGGCTGAGGACCAGACATCAGCACTTTAAGGAGAATGGCATCGTTAGATTACACCAACTTTTATGAACTATTACAAGGTGCATTGAAACAAATGTCATTTACTCATTTACAAAATCCTAGTTCAGTCTTGTACTGACTGAAGCTCTGAAATTATAGCCATGCCATAACCTCAGAGCTGTTTTTTGAATATCACACTACATCACTGCCTATTGATTCTCTGTGTAAAACCTAGTGATTTCTACAGGGAAGGAAATAAAATGCCACCCTGTGATACCTGCCTCGGCTGTCTGCCCTACCCCGGCTCACGGTTACTTCCTTGTACCTTTAGGGCAATTCTTTTCTCTAACCGAGAAGTACACGTATTGACATGTCGCTGGTCTCGGGTTGAATATGTAGGCTGGTGCAAGGGGTTTGCAATCGGCTGCTAACCTGAAGGCTGGCAATTCTAACCCACCCAGCGACTCTGTGGGAGCAATGCCTGGCACACTGCCTCCATAAAGCTTTTAGCCAACCAAACCCCATGGAGCAGTTCTACTCTGTAAGCCATGGAGCAAAATAACAACAACAATACTTGTAAAATAAAACGATCTAAAAATACCACCATTTTCCAGCGGAAATAATTATGTATGCAATTTAAAATCTGAATATCCTCATTACAAACATTTAATGAGTGAGGATTACTCAAGGTTTTCCTGTCATTATCAAATGAAAAACCACTGGAGAACTTTTTCTTCTAATTCTGGTTTTTCGACAACAGTTCATCACACTAGTAGGATGAACACTTCAGTTACATATTAGAAGTATCCTAATTAATTAAGTACAGAGCTGTGTCAGAACCAACCATATATATGTGCATGTGTGTGAAAGATACTGGTTAAAGTAAGTAAATGTTCTAATTAGAAAAATGAAAATCAAGTAAGAGCAATAGATGTAGTGACATCCTAAGGTTAAATTTTAGTTGTTTGTCGAAGTTGACACCATTGCTGTCGAGTCGATTCTCACTCATAGCCACCCTACGGACACAGCAGAACTGCCCCACGGGGTTTCCAAGGAGCAGGTGGTGGATTCAAACCGCCAACCTTCTCGTTAGCAGCCGTAGCTCTTAACCACTGTGCTACCAGGGCTCTTTGTATTGGCTAGCTACTATTAATTTAACCCTCAATTAAAATTAACTCTTCGATTTTGATGGCAGATAAATCAGTGATTAGCTTTGTCTCATATAAAATAGCACTACCTTTAAAAGTTCTAACAGACCTAATGATGTAATTGGTCCAGAACAGGCAAAAAAAAAAAAAAAAAAATGTATATGATACATTTGCAATAATTATTTTCTTCAGAAATTTCCTCAAATATTCCATGTAAAACAGGTTATACTTCCCTGCTGACTATATTTGAAAGATATTAAAAGCAGTATGCAAAATGCTTCTAAACTTTCAAAATATCTGAATAAAAACAAAGATCCAGCTTTCACCAAGTTTGGTTTTTAATTCTGGTTTATAAGACAAAAAATTTACCTAAAATTTATTTTTACCTTTTTACATAATTTCGCATAGATTATTATAACTGAACACACAAAATGGATGTCGACATGGAGTTTTAAAGGTATAGTAACATTTTTTTAAAGAATTACTTCTCATAAGTTTAAACTCTATAGCATTTGTCTCAAGATGAAGCTTTTTAAAAGAAGCCACAGGCTTTTGTCCAACTCAAGGATTCAAGCACAAGTTTTCAAGTGATGAAGTCAAAGTGATGAAATGTACGACAAACTGTACCATACGGTTAAAACAACGGCAACACGTCAATAAATGTGCTTCAGGAAAGGACCCACTGGCCGGAAGAGCAGCACCGTCTTCCTAGGGTTGACTCCATTTCTCCTTTCCCTATCGCTTATTCTTTTTGGGTTTGTACTAGGGACCTTATAGTTCCTTTTAAAGTACACTCATAACACTTTAGATCACAACTTATTCTTACTACACTCTTGCTTCTCAAATCAAGAGCAATATTTCAAGTGCATAGTTCTGGCTATATTGCATAAGCAATATTTGAACATTTCTGGGGGTGGATTCTGACAATGGGATTTCAAGATGACATAGTAACATTTACAATGAGCTTCTGTCTCAAGAAATGCATTTACGCTTCAGAGATTATACCTACTTTTCTGGTGATAAGCCATTATGAAGTATAATAAAACTTTTGAACTCTAAGGTACCCATAACGAGCATTACTCGGATCATGCACAATGCTAGGTACGCAATGTGATATGGCTATTACGGTGTCCTGAAGGAACCCCATGACATGAGAGACTGTGGAGTCAAAGTCATTAATCGTAAGGAATGGCAATCACTGGGCGAAAGGGTGCTGATGAAGAATCTGAATTCAGAGAACAAGGGCCTTGCCCTTTCTTGATAAACCTCTCTCTAATGCAAGGGTATTCTGCTATCATCTTCTGATCAATAGCGATTACACTCATGGACATGACCTCTTCATAGGAGAGACCAGGCTGGTTGAAAAATACCAACAAACAACAGTTTACTCCAACGTGTCTCACTTTACCATTTCAAAAATGTAATTACAGAGCAGTCACAAAATCAAGCCATGAATGCAAGAGACTTCAAAACACGCCAAGAAGTGGTCTTGGCACTTTTCAACCTGTCTCATCCTCTACATCACATTCTTTGTCATGATGAGTGACAACAGCAAGATTATTAAATCTGAAAAGTCACAGAAGTCAGACAATATAGAATAATTGCTGTTTTTACCCCTTTATCTGTCTAGATAAAAGCCCCATTTCTGTAAACCACACTTCATAATAGGACTTCAACAAGGTTCCTTTTAAAATGAAAAGTGAACAATTTTTCCAGTGTCGGCTACATAAGATCTTTGTACACCTTTCACAATATTGGCCTCATAAGATATAAAGCGATGATTAAATTTAAACCAGATGGAGCTCTTAATACTGATTTTTGTACACTAAAGAAAACCCTAACAGGCAATTTGCATTTACAAGCACTGGACTGTAGAATTAATCCTTTTCTTAAAAATATGACTGGACTTTAATAAAATTATGGTAACCCTAAGAGGTTCATACTTCACAAAGTGATTCCTACTCATATTTTCTTCTTCTGTCCATTTTATCATTTCAAAAAATTTCAATACTGCTCATCACAAACCACTGAAAATAATTATTTTCTGTTTATTCCATTTATGTATCCATTGATTCAGATGATTTTGACTGGGAGCTCCAAGTACCATTGGAAAAGCTGAGTCATTAAAAACTCTCAATGTTTTAAACACTTGGTTAGAAAAAAGGTCACAACTCCTTGTAATTATCTAGCTTATGTGCTTTATGGTGTCTTTTCAAAATGAAAGTATAAACCATAGTACATCAAACCAAAATTGTCAATTACATTTTTTTCTGGCACTTTTCTAGAAATCAGGCAGTAAAACATAAAACATCTTATAAATTTATATAACAAAAATAAATGCTTATATTTTCATCTTATATAGATTACCTTAGGATAGCAGTTAAGAAATTCCACACTGTTGGTGTTGGCAGCAGAGTCATCTGAAACACAATTCCTATCCACAGCTCCTCAGAGAACAGCATGACTGCTAGCCAAATATGAGGTCTGTGTTCCAACCTAAAGATTAAGGCTGTTTTGAAGGACTGAGCTCTGGGCTAAAATAAGTAGACAAGTACTACAGTACTCATTGAAAATACTGAAAATGCTCTGAAGAGTTTTAAAATACTGAGGAAAAAAAGTTTTGACTAGAAAAATAAAACAAAACATCTAAAACTGACTTCAAGTACTTTGGAGAGAGACTGCTGACATGGAGTGCCAAAATAGAAAGAGCAGAGAGCTCAGAGGCTCCAGGGACATATCCGATCCTCACAACCTGCAGGCCTCAGCTTCCCAGGCACCAGTGGGGCAGCTCTTTGAAGCGGACTGGCGAGCTGGATGGTAACCGCTAACCACAGTTTCTCACCAACCTAAGATGTCTAGGTTGAAGGCAAAAGTCAAATGTCATGGGAGAATTTCCTTGGAATGAACCATATGAACTGGAAGATTTCGAGGGGGATAAAGCCACGCATTTTAAAGTTAGTAGCAGATATAACAAAAAGGGAAGAAAGAAAGAAAAACCTGGATCTTCTGAATGGCAGTATGTAGGCAGGTGGTGTTACAGTTCTTGATGAGCTCAGTTCTTCCTTATATTTTGGTGTTCCTTACCAACAGGAGGAATCCACCGTCAGTTTGGGTATTTTGCAGAGGGCCAGGAGGGTGTGTGATGTGCATGGGTGTGTGGGTATCCCCCTGGCAGGCAGATGCCCATTTGGGTTCAGCCAGGAACGTACCTCACTGCTTCAAAAACTGGGAAAACAGTCATGGTCATTGTCTTCGGTTCACTAAAGCAGCATATGAAGAATAGGTTTATATCACTTCTGATCTTCCAGAGAAGAAATGTCCCCAAACGACTGATAACATGGTATTTGGAGTTGTGTCTTCTGGGTTGCTAGAGTCTGGTGATATCTCTGCACTGCTCCAAGTCCCCAATGTTCTCGTAGTCATTCTCCTCTGAGAAAAGGCCATCGAGATTATCGGTCTCCTGGGTGGCCTTTTCTTCCTCTCTGTTTAGAGTCTGTATCGCTTCATAATCGGGCTCTGGCTCCTTGCTGGGTCTCTCAGCTGGTGGAGGTGTGCTGACACTGGCTGGAGCTCTCTCAAAGTCTTTTACAGTAGCGTAGAGATCATTACAGGAAGACGGGGATCTCTGCGGGGCTCCATCTTGAATACCGGTGTAGGTGGATTCTAGCACTCGAAGCAACTGCGTTGATTTATTCACTGACTGTCCAGGTTTATTCACTGATGAGTACATGGCTGAGATCTAGAAAACAGAGGGCTAATGAATAAGCAAGCTCTGACCTGTGACATTCTCCCTGCCCCTTTTAGCTAGATACTCAGCATTTATGATCATCTGCGTGTGCGTTCTCCTTTACGACTTAGTTACCAGTATTAATCTGGGGTATATTAGTACAGATTAATTACATACATTATCTTCAACTTTGTAACTGTATTTTACTTTTTGATAGGTTTTACTGAGATCTAATTCACATGTCATACAACTTACCCACTTGAAGTCCACAATTCAAAAGCTTTTAGTGAAGTCACAAAGTTGTGCCACCATGACCACGATCAGTTTTAGGACATTCTCATCACCTCCTCAGCCATCACTCCCCAACCCCCTTAAAGCCCCCAGTCGTAGGCCACCACTCATTTGCTTTCTGTCTCTGTATTTGCTTATTCTGGATATTTCATATAAACACAATCATACAACATGTGGTCCTTTGTGACTGGCTTTTTTTTTTTTTTTTACTAAACAATGTTTTCAAGGTTCATCTAAGGTGTAGCATGTTTCAGTACTTTATTCCTTTTTATGGCTGAATAAATAGTCCATTGTTCAGATAACCCACACTGTGTTTATCCACTTATCAGCTGAAGGACATTTGGGTTGTTTCCATTTATCCCTACAACGAATAACGTTGCTACAAATATTAATGTACAAATTTTTGTATGGACATGTATTTTCATTTCTCTTAGGCAATATGCCTAGCCTGTTAAGGAACTGCCAAATAGTCTTCCCAAGTGGCTATACTACTTTACATTTCCACTGGCAGTGAATGAGGTTTCCAATTTCTCCACGTCCTTGTCAACACTTGTTATTATCTGTTATCTGTCTTTTTTATTCCAGCCATCCTAGTGGGTATTAAGTGGTATCTCACTGTCGTTTTGATTTACATTTCCCAGATGGCTAATGATATTGAGCATCTTTTATGTGCTTATTGGCCATTATTTTTGGTATAACTCCTTTGAAGAAACATCTATTCAGATCCTTTGCTCATTTTTTAATTGGGTTGTCTTTTTATTATTGAGTTCTACTGTATTTACATTTTTATGACTTTATTAATTAGACCAGTCATATTCACATCATTACATGAAAAACAAGTGCCCGTGAGTTTTGTTGATGAGCATTAAGAGAGAGCACAGAGTGGGCACCTTCAGAAGCCCAGGAACTGACCAGAACATCCTGTTCTATTTGATTTCTGTATCAGAATAACATTTCACCTGAAAAAGGATAGTGATTTTCAAAGTGTGGGCCTTGGACCAGAAGCAGCAGGATCTGGAAAATTGTTAGAAACACAAATTCTAGGGCACACCCCAGACCCACTGAATCAGAAAATTTGTGTGTGTGGAGGGTAACAATCTGTGTTTCACAAATTTACCAGCTGATTCTGGTGCCCACTAAAGTGTAAGAACCACTGGATTAAACTATTCAACTCTTCCTGCATCTTCCTGGTATTCCACTGGCAGTACATATATATGTATAATAGTATTACTTGTTTACTTAGCTACGTGGTATTGGTTAAATATATATTTACAGACTGGGCTTATTTTCTTTAGGGGGAAAATTCATTTTTATTTGCAAGCAACTAAGAAATGCAATTTAGAGACAATCCACTTACGAGATGCTCTTTCCTATGGTAAGAGTAGGCGATTTCCCAAGGCCACCTACTCTGTCTCACTGATACATCCTGTATAACTGCTAATATCAAAATGGATTTCATTTTTTTTTGTTAACAATAGATCAAGTGCTTGGACTGATTTTTTTTTTTAACATTATGTTTATTGTTAGAAATTATGACTGGAAATAAGCAAAAATCTCCTTCATTGCCTATGCTTATTTTTGCAGTAGTGAATGAGTCAATCAAATACCCAGGAAATAATAAACATGCTTCCTGACAGATGCCTGGCCCTTCAATTGCCCAGAAATGTTTTCCTGCTTTCACATACCTCAGAGACTATGGAAGAAGTTGTCAGCTGGCCTCAGAAACTTCTTAAGATAAGGCTGCTGCATGTTAACTGGTCATTTGTATGAGAACTTGTCACTGCCCATTGGTGGCTCAGTTTTTTAATTAACTCATTAATTTTTATTGTGGTAAAAATATATGTAACATTTGCTGATTCAACATTTTTTTTACATGTAAAATTCAGTGACATTGGTTATGTTCACCATCTGTGCAACCATCACCACCGTCTGTTTCCAAATTATTCCGCCACCATTAACAGAGACTCCGTGCTGGTGGCTGGATTTTTCTAGTCCTTGACAATCCAACCATTTGGAGTCATAGAAATAATCTTTGGAAAACTTTTGCCATGTTGGACTGTTCTAATGAACAGTAAATTAACATTCTCTCTCACCTTAGAGGTTTTAATGAAGAAACGGCTCTCAAATTAGAACTGTAATTTCTTTGAATTTAGGAAGAATTAAAATAAAAAAAAAACACTACTTTTCATAGTGAGTAGCAAACATGTGGAACTTGTCATTCCAATAGGTAATCCAAGCCAAAAATGTGGCCAGATTTTAAAGAGTGAAATCATGGATGATAGTGATGAGGGGAACCAGTATATGAAGTATTTATTCCTCACTTTTGAGGGAACATCACAGAGGACAAACACACCTTCACCTAGATTGTAAAAATGGCCCCTCGTGACCATTTCTGTTTCTTTCCTCTACTTCTCACGATCCCTGCCATTGATGTTCCCCACTCTTCCTAAGCATCTTGGGTCTTCTTGGCTGTTATACTCTTTTATTATTATGGGCTCTGTCATTAACCTGCAACTTAATATGGTCTATAAGCATAACCTAGTGTACAGAGGGATAATAATATATTTCTGCTTTTAAAAAAGCTTTTCAAGTCTTCTGATATTCTTTTTGAATATTTATCTTCTATGACTATTATTTCTAACTTGTATGCAGGTTTCTCTTCGAGCTCCCTTGCTACTGAGCTTTCAATTTTTCTCTTTTTAAATCTTTCATCCCTTTGTAAATTATTATGTTCTCAGAAATTACTCATTTCCTTTTTCCTATTTCTTTACCTTTTATAATCAACGCTTTCTCCATCATTATGTTAAATTAGGATAATTGTACTTAAAACTCAATTCCCAGTTTGGATTGTATAATATTTTATTATGTGAATATAAAAATAAATGATTTCCATATTTATTTTCCTAAGTCTTAGTCTTCTTAAAGTTAATGTATGTGAATCACAGTTCTTTATTTTATATTAAAAAAAAATCAATGTAAATAGGTGCTATTGTCAAAAACAATTAACAAATGTTAGACAAGGAGATAAATAAGTTAAAATTTTACGTAGTCTCTATTTATTTTAAAGGATTAGTTTCCAGGTCTCCTATATATTTTGTTTTTTGATTCCAGATGGGATCAAGTTCCCTTAGTTGGTGTAACCAAAAACCAAACCCACTGCCCTCAAGTCAATTTTTTTATTGTACTTTAGATGAAGTTTTACAGAACTAGCTTCTCATTAAACAGTTAGTACCATATTGTTTTATGACATTGGTTAATAACCCCACGAAATGTCAACACTCTCCCTTCTCAAGCTTGGGTTCCCTATCACCAACTTTCCTGTCCCCTCCTGCCTTCTAGTCCTTGCCCCTGGGCTGCTGTGCCCTTTAGTTTCATTTTGTTTTATGGAGCTGTCTAATCTTTGGCTGAAGGGTGAACCTCAGGAGTGACTTCAGTACTGAGCTAAAAGGGTGTCTGGGGACCATACTCTCGGGGTTTCTCCAGTCTCTGTCAGGCCAGTAAGTCTGGTCTTTTTTTTTTTTGTGCGTTAGAGTTTTGTTCTACGTTTTTCTTCATCTCTGTCCAGAACCCTCTATTTTGATCCCTGTCAGAGCAGTCAGTGGTGGTAACCATCTCATTGTAAAGGATTCAGTCTGGTGGAGGCCATGGTAGTTGTGGTCCATCAGTCCCTTGGACTCATCTTTCCCTTGTATCTTTAGTTTTCTTCATTCTCCCTTGGTCCCAAAGGGGTGAGACCAGTGGATTATCTTAGATGGCCGCTTCACAGGCTTTTAAGACCCCAGATGCTACTCACCAAAGTAGAATGTAGAGCATTTTCTTTATAAACTATGTTATGCCAACTGAGCAAGATGTTCCCCCAGACCATGGTCCCCATAGCCCTCAGCCCAGCAATTTGGTCCCTCAGGGAGTTTGGATTTGTCTGTGGAGCTTCCATGACCTTGCCTTGTACAATTTGTGCTGGCTTCCCAAGTATGTGTACTATCTTACCCCTCACCAAAGCTACCACTTACCTATTGTTGTATTTGGTGTTTTTCCATCCCTGCCCCTCTCCTCCCTCGTAACCATCAACGATCGTTTCTTTTTATGTGTCAACCTTTTCATGAGTTTTTACAGTAATGGTCTCATACAATATTTGTCCTTTTGTGATTGACTTATTTCACTCAGCATAATTCCCTCCAGATTCATCCATGTTATGAGATGCTTCGCAGATTCATCGTTTTTTATTGTTGTGTAACACTCCATTGTATGTATGTACCATAGTTTATCCATTCATATGTTGACGGGCATCTAGGTTCTTTCCATCTTTTTGCTATTGTGAACAATCCTGCAATGAACATGGGTGTGCATATGTCTATTCGTGTGATGACCCTTAGTTCTCTAGGACGTATTCCGAGGAGTGGGATTGCTGGATCATACGGTATGTCTATTTCTAGCTTTCTAAGGAAATGCCATATCATTTTCCAAAATGGTTGTATCATTTTGCATTCTCACCAGCAGTACGTAAGTTCTAATCTCCCCGCAGCCTCTCCAACATTTGTTACTTTCTGTATTTTTGATTCGTGTCAGTAATGCTGGGGTGAGATGGTATCTCATTGTGGTTTTGATTTGCATTTCTCTAATGGGTAGTGATCAAGAGCATTTCCTCATGTGTCTGCTGGCCGCTTGAATGTCTTCTTTGGTGAAGTGTCTGTTCATTTCCTTTGCCCATTTTTTAATTGGAT